GTGCCCATGGGAGAAAGGCTTTCAAGATGATGATTTGCGGTGTTCCCCACTCTCGGTGTGGGGTTGTTAGATTTTAAAGTCAGCTATTACTCCCACCCGCCCGCTCCTCGCCCGCTGAGACGACCTCGAGCTACCTCGAGAAAATGCCTGTGGTGCCCACCCGCACAGACTACCGTGAGACTCCCTGGAGTGCCCAACCCCACTGCGGACCCCGCGGCCGTTTTGCCAGTCAGTGGTGTGACCCCATGGATCGTCGACTGAAATGAATCGAACACTCGAGCGCCTACGCTTCCCCATGCTTCTGTACATAGGTGTTTTCGTGTTGGCTCAAACCCTCCCTCCCAACCCGCCCCCCGCCCCCCCGGTTTCTAGGGTTGCGGTTTGTGTGTGGGGTTGGTTTCGTTTCAGGGTTTGTTCAGGGTGGTTTAGGACATATGTGCCGAGGTCCCCAAATTTTAGGGGAAACGCGGCTTAGGGTTTAGGGTGCCTGGCATTCCAGGACAGGAGACGGCGGGCACGTAGGGTTTAGGGCCCAGCGTTTAGTTCTGTCTCGTATGTTTTTTGGTCCCCGGAACCAGGGGAAGCTGGGCTTAGGGTTTAGGTTAGTGCTAGGTTAGGTTGTTTCCCCCCCACCGGGGGCCCCCACCCCCATCTGTGCCCGGAGGTGTGCACTTGCAGAATGTTGCAAAAAACAAACAGCGGCACGCAGGTTTTCAGATGAGTTGTTCACTCCTGGGGGAATGTGTCCCAACAGTCACCAAATATTTTTCCGGAACCGTCAAAAATAATTGGGGAGATTTCCAGGCACGGCAAGTCACGCCCCAAGCCCGTGCTGGCTGCCGAAGTCGGTGAAGTTTCGTTTGTTGCCCTTCACCATGCAGCCGAACACTCACTAATGAATTTTACGGAGCCGCCAAAAATCATTGAGGAGATTTCCAGGCAAGGGGCAAGTCACGCCCCAAGCCCGTGCTGGCTGCCGAAGTCGGTGAAATTTCGTTTGTTGCCCTTCACCACGCATCCAACAGTCACCAAACAATTTTCCGGAACAGTCCAAAACTAGTGGGAAGCTTCCGGGCATGGCGCAAGTCACCCTCCTAGCCCGTTCTGTCTGCTGATCTTTGGGACATTTCGGTCTTGCCCTTCACCATGCATTCCAACAGTCACCAAATATAATTCCGGAACCTTCAAAAATCATTGAGGGGATTTCCAGGCACGGGGCGAGTCACGCCCCAAGCCCGTGCTGGCTGCCGAAGTCGGTGACATTTCGTTTGTTGCCTTTCACCATGCATCCAACAGTCACCAACGAATTTTCAGGACCCGCCAAAAATCATTGGGAGATTTCCAGGCCGGGGGCCGGGGGCAAATCACACCCCAAGCCCGTGCTAGCTGCCGATTTTCGTGAAATCTAGTTTGTTGCCTTTCACCATGCAGCCGAACACTCACTAATGAATTTTACGGAGCCGCCCAAAATCATTGAGGAGATTTCCAGGCAAGGGGCAAGTCACGCCCCAAGCCCGTGCTCGCTGCCGAAGTCGGTGAATTTCGTTTGTTAAGCCCGTGCTGGCTGCCGAAGTTCGTGAAATTTAGTTTGTTGCCCTTCGCCATGCACCCAAACACTCACTAATGATGTTTACGGAACCGTCAAAATCATTGAGGAGGTTTGCAGCTAACGTGCGGAACAGGTGAAAAAAAAACACAGGAGGGCCGTGCTGGCTGCCGAGTTGCAATTTTCTCGGTTCTTGCCGTTCCAAATGCATGCCACCAATTGCCAATGAATTTTCCCCACCCGCTAAAAATCATTGAGGTGGTTTCAGTAAACTGGAGATCTGCCTGGCCTCCTTTTCTGAGCATCTTTGTTGCGTTCCGTTCTCGTTCGCGTTCCGTTCCCGGAGTTGTGCGAGCACGGGTTCAGGGGTCCAGGGTTAAGTGTTCAGGTTTCCGGCTTGGGGTCCAAGAATTGAAGGGTTTAAGGGTTTAAGGTTTGAGTACTTAGAGGTTTAAGGGTATACGGTTTGAGGGTCATGGGTTTAGGGGTGTAGGGTTCATGAAGCTCCGGGGGTTCAGTGGGGTTTAGGGTTCGAGGGATTTGAGGGTTTAGGGTTTGGGTTTTGAGCCGAGCCTCTGGACTGAAGTTAGATGTTACAAAGGTTCTATTCCACAAACAAGGTGCTACATGGAACATTCTGGGTCCTTGAATTCAAAGTTTCGAGAATTGATGGCCGTCCCGCTGCGGTCCGCCTCGAAAAGGAGCTCCGCACGTCCTATTACTTGCAGCAGATGCTGCAAATTGGGTCCCCACGCTCGCAGCACGCGTCTCCCGCTGTGATGCGGCGCAAACTTTTTCTGACGTCCTTTTATATGTGGAGGGTTCACGCGACGCGCGCACCGGGGCCAGGATTCATTGTAGATAATGCGATCCGGACGGTTTGTTGCTCTCGAAAACCTTGAATCTGAGGAGCCTGCGGGGGAAACAATGCATAAGTCTCGGGGTTCCCGAAATGCGCCAGTAATTTACTTCAAACACTGTCGTGCTGCTCCTCGAGCCGCCCGGACCTGCGAGCAAACGACGCCGCCATGCTTTCGAAAATTTCTGAATCCCGCCGCGTCGCTGGTCCGTGGTGGTCCCGTGGTGTCTTGGTCGTCCGGCGCGGTGGGTGATGATCTGCTGTTGGTACTATGGGGAAACGATTGCAACCAGTTGCGACCTGTATTCTCCCAAGCATAGCAAACCACCAGCCCGGTCGTCCTGAGTTCCTGGTCAGAATAGAATGCTTCTGTCATGGTTCTCCGGGATCCCTGGCATCACAAGGGTTGTGCAGGGACTTTGCAAGGTTAAAGGGTGGTATAGGGGTTTCGTAGGGTTCTTCTTCTTTGGAATTCAACAAACCCTAAACCCTAAACCCTTTTTGGAACTGCTGCCTCCTACACCCATAAATCGGGCTTGCAAGGCTTTCGACCTGGACGGTGATGGATCGATTACGCGCGAGGCTCCCGGTTTAAGACCCAGAGACTCCCTATGTCCTCGACAGCAATATAGGGGCCTTGATAATTGGAATGGGGTTTTGGGGTAGGTTGTTGTAATAACTAGAATCCCAGGTGGGGACAACAGGGGATACCATGACTAAGTCTAAGCATTCCCATCGCTCTATTACTTCAGCAATCTTCCTTCAGCTTAGGTAAAGCTGCGATCCAAACCCTGAATCCTAATCTCTAAACTGAAGCTTCAATGTGGGGACCTCCTCGTCTCCAAAGCCCTTGTAACCGTTAAGATTCTATAGCCATTAAAGGGCGGGCTGTAGAACACTACCTAGCCCCTATACATGCCGAAAGGAACATTGATATAATTCCTATGAATTCCTAAGAAGATTCTCGCCCCAAAATTGACTAAGAGCCCCTTCTTCATCACCACCCTAGACCCTCAACCCTAAGCCTTAAACCCTAAACCCTAGACGCTTAACCCTAAACCCTGAACCCTAAACCTCAAACCCTTATCCCTAAACCCTAAAAGCCCTAAAAGCCCTAAAAGCACCAAAAGCCCTAGACCCTAAGCCCTACATAAACCCCACACCCTTAGCCCGGAAGTCTCTTCGCGAGACGTTGGGGCAGGAGCTGGAGCTCCTTCTGTCCGCGCTGGACGGAGGCAAGTGGGGCGGAGACCTGAGAACTATCTGACGGTTTAGGGTTTAGGGTTTAGGGTTTAGGGTTTAGGGTTTAGGGTTTAGGGTAGGGTTACAGGGTTTCAGGGTTTGGGGTTTCAGGGTTTAGGGTTCTAGGGTTTGGGGCTTCAGGGCTCTAGGGTTCTAGGGTTTAGGGTTCAGGGTTTGGGGTTGATTGGTTTACAAAAAAGGAGCTTCATGAATTACACATACTATTTTGGGTGGTCCTTATTATAATTATAGTATACATTACCCCCAAAACACCATGCTAATTATTAAGGCCCCTACACTAGGATTTAGGGCCTTGGGTTTAGGTGCTGAGGGGTCAGGTGCTTGGAGTTAGGATTTCGGGGTCTAAGGTCTCAGGGAAGCGCTATGGTCCTGCACTTTAAGTTAACAGTATACCGCCTCGGTTTAGGGTTTAGGGTTTAGGGTTTGGGGTTTGGGGTTTGGGGTTTAGGGTTTAGGGTTTAGGGTCTGCTGTAACTATTAGAGTAGGCGGCTTTGAGGGTGGGTCCTTGGTGGGCCTCGTGCATGTTAGATGAGTCGTTCGGACTTGGGGCTCTAGGGAGTTTAGGGTTTAGGGTTTAGGGTTCAAGGATTCCGGTTTGGGCTGGACATCGAACTAATCTAGTATATGGGACTTACTCTCTATTATATCAAACCGTAATCATACAGGGACGACAGAGGGATACTGGTAAGAGTCATTCTTCAGGCCTGTGGGTCCCTAGATTGGGGTTTCGGGTTCTGAGTCCTGGCGCGCAGTAGTACTCTAAACCCTAAACCCTAAACCCTAAACCCCTAAACCCCTAAACCCCTAAACCCTAACTAAACCCTAAACCCTAAACCCCTGAACCCTAACCCCTTTTTTTCAGGATTTGAGGTGCTCGGGCTTGTGGGCGTAGTGTCACGAGTGGGTACCCATAGGCCCCGGGGTTTAGGGTTTAGGGTTTAGGTTTGTATTTAGGATCCTATTAGGTAATCCCAAAAAGGAACTACTATGGGGCCTATGGGTAAGTTTCATAGCAAAGACTCAATGTAGAAGCTTAAGGACTAAAATCCCAAATAAGGAGGTTGCCGAAAGTTTTCGCGGTGCCCAAAGCCGCATTAAAAGCTTCGGCAAAGCTCTACTTCTCAGACCCTGCCCACGGTTTAGGGTTCAGGCTTCAGGGTTTAGGGGTTTAGGGTTTAGGGTTACCATGTGGGGGTTTCTCCGAAAATAGGGGACCCTAATATAGTACCCTAAATAGTAGGACCCTCATTATAAGGACCCCACAATAAGGTACCCCCTATTTTCGGAAACTCCCATGTATCTCTGTAAATAAAAAGCCGCTGAACTCCTAGGCGATGGTGAAATCGATGAGTTCATTCAGCTCGTCGGCTGCAACATTCGGACGAAAGGACGAGAGGTTCGCAGCCGGTTTAGGGTTTAAGGTTTAGGGTTTAGGGTTTAAGGTTTAGGGTTTAGGGTTTAGGGGGTCTTCAGAAAAAGTGAGTAAACCCTGTAGAGCATTGATAAGAACTCGTCTAGGCAACCCTTGTAGGAACCCATATTAGAACCCTGGACCTGTAGCATTGAGTTTTTGTGCGAGTTGTGCACCGGACAGCTGAAAAGGCTGTGAGTTCCCGTCAGAGACGTTACTGGAGAGAACAGCCCGAAATTCCGAGAACCGGATGCCTCAGCCCCATAGACCCGCCAGCCCACAGCCCCCAAGTTACAATCATAAGGGGAGCTAGAAATTCGCAAAATTGGGCTCTTTGGTGATACTGTAAGCTTCATGAGTCATGCAGCTCTAACGCCCCCTAAACCCGAAACCCTATAAACCCCACCCAAAACCCGAAACCCTGTTCTGTCTGGGGCACAAAGTCTTTGGACCATCTCTTGGCTATCAGCAGGGGAAACTCAGTCTGAGGCTGGCCGACATGAACGGCGACGGAATGATCCAGTTTGAGGAGTTTGTCAAGTGGCTCTACGGCAGTGAGGGGCTCAGTTGTGTGTTGCGACATTCACCAGTCTCGTGTGCAACGAGTGCTGACATGACACGGAAACAAGCCACGAGCGAACGATTGAGAGCCTTTGCGAGACCCGTGCGACAGATAGATGAGCCAAATTGTTTCCGCTGCAGCCCTTCGGCTTTCGCAGCGCCTGATAGCTTGCATCCTGATCTGCGCTTTCGCAATGGCGGCAAGGCTCACAAAGACGGTAGCGG